CTTATTTTATGTGCCCATTATCAGAACCCCATGTACCAGACACTCAAATGCTTCCTCTTCATTCAGCCAAATACTTTACATGGGCATAATCATGATTTATCAATGCACACAGTCTGTCATAAGAAAGAAATAATCATGCTACAGAAATAAGAATCCATATTTCCAGCTAATAGGACAGACTGTGGCACTCCAGAGTACTTTGAGCAGATCTGAGAGAAAGAATCTCTATACAGCTTTCTGGAGTAATGGAGGATTTGACTTTGAAGCCTTGAATCATAAACAGGTGAGCTCAATACATTTATGAACACTGTTTGTGCATGTTCTCTTACACGGTGTATATAAAAAGAAAATGGAAAAAAACTGTGCTGCTGGACATGAGCTGTGTGTGAGAGATCGTTTCCTTTTTCAACTGCCTCAGTCGTGACTTCTGTCAGTTGTTGAAATGAGGAAAGAGAAAATACAGTGGACAAATTAGTGTAAAAATCAGTGCTGAAAGGAGAATGAATATTTAACTTAACATTCATCAGGTAGCTCCAACTCTGTTTCTGCTAAATATGTCAATAGGAAACTGTTTGCTAACAAAGAAGGTTGCAACATGTCAATGTTGTGTTCACAGCTTTATTTCCAAAAAAAAGCTGTTATTACAGGTTCAAGTAACTTAATCACAGATACAAGCATTGCTATAAATGTTGACTTATGTTTGTTTGAATGCCAAATAGCAACTTTTGTCTGAGTGCCAGACCTGTTTAAAAGAAGCCTGGCACTCAGCTCCAATTTCTCCAAACAACATGAGACAATTGACAGAGCTCAAAAGAGGCCAAATTATCTGTCCCCATGGCAGGTGCACCAGTCAAAGATAAATACAAAAAAATAAATAAATAATGACAATAAGCCAAACACAAACAAAAAGTGGATTTCTGGGACAAGTCATTAATATGACGCTGTCTACATACAGCAGGTTGACATATAGCTCACTAAAATGTCAACTAATGTGACTGACCTTTGTAGAGGAGTTCTCAGTTACGTCAAAGTGTCCTTTTTCATGAAGTGTTATGTTATTTTGATTCTACCAGCATTCGATAAGGTGTTGAGGGATATTGTAGGGTTATATATAATTTATATAATATATTCCTTGTAATCCGCAATCTCTCTTTCCCGATTTTTTGTCAGCTCTCTGCTGTCATCTTTAATAAAGGCAAAATTGCCCCCAATTTGAAAAAAAACAAAACAAAAAAAAAACAACAACATCTATGTCATAGATTCTATCCAGTTCCATAACTACATTAAAACTCAGGCCTAGATGTTAATCAGGTACTGGACCTAGCCTCCCCACACAGACTTAACTATTGTACCACCAACATACAGAGGAACATAATTTGTTCCACCCACGTTTTATTTTATTTGCCATCGTGCAAAGCCAAATACCCGTGACAGCAGGCACTCTGAAATGGCAGACGGGTGATCTGTAGGTCATTAAAGGTGATCACCACTGTGTAGTTCAAACCGATCAGGACAGCTATGCATAGCAATGAGCGCGTGTGTGAATAACAGCCTCAGAGTGAGACGGTCCTGTCCTGGAGGAGGTAGAAGTCTAACAGCTGTCAGGGGATCCAATTATGGTCATGTTCCCCTGCCATCCCACAGCACACGCTCCAGTGTTGTGTATTCCCCCCTAAACCTTCCGTCTACACTCAAGTTAAGCAGTCTTGCCTGCAGCATTTGTGAATATTTGAAAGTATTGCCGGAGGAAGAGAACGAGGCTGGCATTTCTCCTTCAAGAGAAGTGGCCCGGGTACCCTGGTGGCAGAGAGTGTCTGCCGGAAAAAGGTAACACAAGTCAAATACACAAATGCCCTCTGTGCCTTGTCACTGCTTAAATGTTTAGGAAACTCTCCTGTATGTTGTCAAAGTAGGTTTGAGATTTTAAGTCACAGTGACAGAGAGGTGGAAGATGAGAAGGAACTAAAAATACATCCAAATCCTGAATCAAAAGATCAGCTGGCACAAATATTTAGTGTTTTATCTTTATCCATCTCTCTGGGACAGAGCACATTAATCAGTAGTGACAACTCAGTGTAGATGTAAATTTTTGTAAGGGATTTTTTCCCCCTACCATTAGTTCCACAAAATGTTCAGAAAAGACATTTAAAAAGGCCCAAAAATCTAGAGATGTAAAAATTCAGTTGTTTTCAATATATTGTACTTAACCACATCTTTAATAACCACACCTGAAAATACAGTGAAATTTTCTTTGAAATTTTCATACAGTGACATATACAGGCAGTATGCTGTATTACTACACTAACCATATTAAACATGACTGAGATGCAAAATACCTGCAGTCAGCTTTGGCCTCAGCAAAGGCGTTCTGCAACACAATCAAGTACACTATGAAACCACTCATTTAGCCAAGCCTAGTCCCTACATTAACCCTGCTACAGCACACCGGGGATTAAAATCACATACTGTACAATTACCATTAACACTGTCCTGTTTACCTTTTATGCACCACTCACCACTAGACACACAACAGCCCAAACTTTTTACAGCACCCACCTCAAAATATAGTACAGCAACATCCATGTTTATCAGCCACTCAACATGACAGTCAGGTCTTCATGAGTTTTATATAGCAGAGGTGAGCCACCTCATCTGAAACACCACCACTAACATCATAAAAAATGTAATAAAACATTGATCTTATGGGAGGAAGAGCAGAGGGGCTATGTTACACTGCCAATGCCATACACGTGTAGTTATTCAGACTATGAACTGATCATGCTGCTTGCCACCTCTAATTCCTAGACATGTAAATCTTAAAGAACAAGACCCCTCTATTTAAATTAAAAGACTAATTAAAGACTAAGAATATTGGTCAAATCAGTTCCCTGTAGATACTTTTCCAATAAAATGCATTTAAATCACAAATCTTAGAAACGACGGCTGTCTGGTTTGAGCAGACTATACCTACTGACAAACAACACTGCTCCATCAAATGCTGAAGAGATTACCTGCAGGACAGGTCTACCTGTCAGACTGAGATATGGGATTACTTTCTCTAAAGTAAATCTCCACTGAAATAAACTTGCATCTACTGTGAAATTAAAAACATGTCTGTGAAACTAGAAAAAGGTGGGTGTTTGATTTAAGTTGAAATACATATTTAATATATTTAATTAAGGGATGTTTTGATTTCCACTTTAAGAATTTTAAATTAAACTAAAGGTCATTGTTTATGTAAAAATATGACGATGCATTGGGTCATATGTGCCTTTATCTCTTGTTATTATTACACAAAATCCATCTGTTATGGTGTCTTTGACTAGGAAGACCTCCTATCTCCAGAATCTAAGTTCACAGCCAATTCCTTTTGTCCCTTGCCCTCTCCCCTTTTTGTACAATTCCCCTGTGAGAGAGGTGGGTTCATTATCCTAGTCCATCCCATTGTTTCTCGTATTTTTTGTTTGTTTCCTACGATGTTATGTCCATTTCCACCTGTTAATATGCTGGTTTGAACGAACTGGCAAGTTTTTTTTTTTTATTATTATTATTATTTGTGTAGGAGTTGGAGCAGGCAGTACAACTAACATGGAGGTTCTGTTTCCCCATTTGTTTGTCAGAATAAACAGAGGTTAGGCCATATAGGTTCCAGTTTGGGTTCAGCAGGCAGACACCGTCTCCACATTTAGGAGTAGGCTTAAGACTTTCTTCTTTGATAAACCTTATAGTTAGGGCTGGCTCAGGTGAGTCCTGAACCATCCTGTAGTTATGCTGCTATAGGCCTAGACTTCCCATGATGCACTGAGCTCCTTTCTCCTCCCCTCTCTCCCCCTCTGTATGCAACCTCATCCCATTAATGCATGTTACTAACTTGACTTCTTCCTTTTCCTGTAGTCTTGTGCTTTCTCGTCCCTCTCCTCTCTCCTTCTATCACTTTCTGCAGGTGTTTCTGGCTCTGGAGCTGTGGAGTCTGGATTTGTGGTTGCGAGTCAACTGCTGCCCCCGTCTTCCTGCTCAACACCCTCTGCTACAATTATTGTTACTGGTCCTGTTGTTGTTGTTGTCTTTAACATTATGATTTTTATTATTATATTTTATTATTAACACTACTATAAATATCTGTACCATTATTCATTCATTCTATAGCAACGTTACCTTTACTGCCTGTACCTCTGTGTGTACATTGTGTAGGCCACCCCCGTGCAGCAGATAATTAACTTTAGCATATTAACCTATCAAATAAAACAAAATCAAGGCTTTGAGCAACAATGCAATAACATTTTAAGGCTTAAGGTTGGCAATGAATGTAGCAGCAGTAAATGGTTAGCAGCCACTAAAGCAGAGGAAATTTACTTATGATATGAAGAACAGCAAAGTAAGCTGTGACATTAAACTCATGACATTTCTAATGCTTAGCTGAATTGCCTGGATGTGTATGTGAGCACCTATCTCATGCATGACAAAAGCCTTGTTGAATATGCCAGGAGGCCAATATTACAGGGAAATAACCATGGCATTGAGCTGTGTGCAAGACAACAATAATGTTCACATCTCTAAATCCAATTTACATAATAATCTTCTGCCAAGTTTGAAGTGAGCCAATGGAAGATCCCCCGAAACAACAACAACAACAATCCAGTGAAGGGGTAAATAAGCCTTAACACCAATGCAGCCCATAACACTTACACTACTCAAATAATGTATTTGAGTAGTGTAAGTGTTGAGTCGAATGAGTAATCATACGACAATTAACAGCAGAGCATTAAAATGCACACGCTAAACAACAACCCTAAAGACAGATTTAGCCAGCACACGAATTTAATTCAATAAAAAACATTGCACATGGGTAGATCCAGCACTAATACTGCAAAAAATAGCAGCCAGCAGAAGATAAGAGATCAACATCAACAGGCAGAGCCGCTAGCTGCCTCACAGCACTAAACTGACAGCCAAGACATCAACTGACAATATGCAAGTTAGCACAGACAGCAGAACCTTACCTTGATGACCTGAAGCAGCGATCTCGGACTTGGTCTGGCGCTGCAGACTTCATAGCCAGAAAACGCGGCTTCCAGCTCAAAGTTTTGAGGCCATTTGATTAAAGGCTAACGAACTCTCCTGAAACCACAGGTTGGCAGGTGAGCTTGTTTTAGTCCATTTACCGTATGTGAGTTGTAGAAGCATGAGTCTACAGATATGTTAACAGCATTGTTAGTAAATGCGCATGGTAGACGAGTAATAAACAGCAAGTGGCAAACTGCTGGCTTAATTAGCCCGCAATTTTGAAAAGAGTGCGTTGATCCGGCCAGTGGTAATGTCTACACTTCCCCCACCAGATTGGTTGCTCTTAATTAATTGGTTGACACTAGTATGTCAGACTGGATTCGTGGGAGTTTTCTATAAAAAGGTGCAAAAAAAAATCAATATTTCTATTGGTGCAGCCATAAAAATCAAGTAGTCTTAGGTTTAAATATTTGACTCAGTAAAAACATAATAAAGGTTTAATAAAGAGCTGGAACAAGCAGATTCTGAATATAAATTATATATTGTCAGTCAGTGTGGAAATATATGATTTTTCTATAACGAACTATCCACTTAATGGTTAGGCTTAAAGAAATAGGGTTAGGGGTATAGAAATATAAAGGAAAAACCGAATGTGAAGGGGTTTGCAACCCTGCTGTGAGAAGAGTTAGTAAATATTTGCATAATTTAAGTACACCAATTGTGCAATTTTATATTTTTTATGTAACACAAGAATGTGCACTTTCCTCAACATATACATAAAATGACTAAACCTCTGTTCTTCAAGTAGCAACCTGGAGCACTCTAGCATCACAAGGATTGAAATCTTCAACATATATTTGACGGTTTATGATAAAAGAGCCCGGCTTCCTTTCAAGAGAAAACCTTTAGCACTCCATCTCCCACATTTCCAAATTAATGACAGTGTCATGCTACTCCTTTTGCTTCGTAGGCGGTTATCCACCCATCGTCTCTGAAGTGCGTAACCTCATTAGTAAGTGGACTATATGCAAGGTGTACAGAGGCTGCATGGTTTGTAATGAATAGAGATGAGTAATGCTATTTAATTGAATGTATTCAACAGAAAGGGAAATGTCTCTGCTTCAAGGCATTTCTTGTCAAGAATAACACAATACAGTCATATCCAAGTCCAAGCCTACTTCTCCTACTTTTACACTTTTCAACCCTAATTTCATTACTGGTCTACTTGAAGTACTCAAAGCAGCCTCTTAGGGGCCTGAACATTGTTTAAATGTTGGTGAAAGTGCTAGAGCTTTGTGTTTGCCTTTGAAGTTTCTTAAAATTAATAGCATTAACTAAGAGAAACAAAAGTGTTCTACATGAAAAAAGGTTGATAATCATCCTAAAAATAACAAAACATCACATCAAAACCACACTTGTTTCACAATCATACTTTATTTCCACAGAAATACAACCAGTAGACAGTGAAAATAAGGAAAACAAACTGAGAATGAAGTTTCTCTTTCATCTTGCATCATTTTGCAAACAGACACTCTGGGAATGAAGAAAGAATATGCGAAATCAATACTGATACTGTAGAATCAAATGTTCTTTCAGCATCAACAAGTAACATCATTTAAAGTGCTTCAGATTAGAATTTTAAAAATGCTTAATCTGATCTTTTTGATTTGCATAAAAGGTTGCTAAAATTATAATGTAGCATTCCTTCATCTTTTCGCTTGAAACTATATTGCACGGTATACTGGAGACCGTGCTTAACAACTGGAAGCAGCTGATACTGGAGATTATGTAGTGATAAATACAGTGACCTTGCATATTATGGGGAGAAAATATGAACAGTGACGGTGCTTTATCTGGTAACACTTTAAACTACTAGGTTGAAATTCAGCTTTGATGAAAATGACAACTGTAACACTTGAGTGGTGGATTTGAAACTGCTGTAAAAAACAAACAAGACAAAAAAAACATCAGTGGACTGTACCATGTATGTTGCTGCTTGGACAACAAATGTAGTAAACAAATCAAGTATAAGAGTTACTCCACAAATAGGCAGAGACATATTTACAGCTTCAAGCTTTGGATTTGACTTGACTGCTACAGAGTCAGGTGACAGTTATCTGCAGGTTTGTCACAAGCAACTACTTTTACAAATACAGTAATTTCATCCATTGTTAATATAAACATATAGATTCTAACAGCTTTAAAGTAAAACCGAAAACTTGAAACTGTCACTGTCTTTTTTGTTGTTGTTTTGCACAGTAACTATGTTTTAGATATCAGTGGATTACCTGGTTAAAAGTCAAGTTGATGTGCATCTTCATTGTATTGCAAGAAAACATCTTCACAAATAGACTGATGTGTATTAAGTGTTGAAATACAGTCATGTGCCATTCAGAGTAGTAGTAGCTCCTTTGGTAACTTTTTTCCTGTTGTGCATTGCAGCTTAATCATTTGTGAGTCCCATCGCAAAATAAAGTGAATCAAGAGTCTGCATTAGAATTGATCCAAGTTTCTGCCAAGAGTTTTCAGCCCAATTGTGGTATTCTTATAGCATAGCTAGCAAGAATGATTGGCTTGACTGCTAAACTGAGCAGGGACATTGATTTGGAGATAGGGAATACAGCACAAGGAGAGAAGGATGGCACTGCCCTGCTTTCCCTGGCATGGGTTTGCCTTTGGCCTGTGGGCAGACACATCTCTCTCTCTCTCTCTCTCTCTCTCTCTCTCTCTCTCTCTCTCTCTCTCTCTCTCACACTTCCAAGAGAGAAACACTTGCAGCCAGAGGTATCTGGAGACGCACATATACACACAGACACACAAACAGACAGTGGGCAACATTGATTTCCTGTTTGGCATTACTAAGCAGTGAGTGACACAGCTGGGGATTGGGCTTTTCTCTGGACCACAGTCCACGCAAACAAACATACTATGTATTCTGTCTCCCTTTCCTCTCTTATACACACCTTTGCGACATTTTATAGACAAACATTCACAAGCAGAGAAGTCTGCCAGCGACAGCTTATCCTGATCATAGTTGCCTTCACCATTTCATCTCTACATCTCATATTCTTTGCACTCTCCTCCTGCTCCGTCTTATTGTCTCTCACTATGCATCTACCTCGTCCTCTGTAAGCATCCCTCTGTCTCCGTTTCCGTTTTCATTAAAACAAATGGGTTTTTCTTGGCATCACAAAGCGGCGTTGACTGCTTGGATGGTTTGGCACAATGCTGAACCGTCCAACAGGTAAACACGTTCTATCAGCCACATGGATCCATATTTCCAGCTTCTACACATTTCCAGGGTAGAAGCGGCCATCTTTTTCTGGCTACAGCGAGATGGATTAATGTGCACTCGGAAGCGCCCACTTCGTATGAACTACCAAAACAACACAAACTCACTTTGAATTCTGTGCACTTTGTTATAGAATTCAAAGTGTGTGTGTGTATGTAGGTGCACTTGTGTGGCTACTGGGAAGTGTGAACTGATGTGTGTTGCCTCAGAGTTTCGTGTCTCTTTGAGTTTGAGTTCCTGTGCGTCTATGTAACTTGTGTGTCCGGATGTGTATATGTGAGATGTGTGTGTGTTTGTGTGTGTGTGTGTCTCTCTCTCTCTGTCTATGTAGGGTGCATTATTGGACGCAGTAGACCGGACAGAGCCAGAGGCGTACACCAAGTGGTCACGCGGCGTGACAGAGAAGAGAGCAGAGTCGCTGTCAGAAGGCCTTTTTAACACACTGCTGCTCTCTGTTCGTGGACATTTCGGGAGCATTTGACTGCAAAAGGGCTGCGCAAAGGAGAGATAAACACAATTCTCCAAAACTCCCACAGAAACATCACTAAAGCCCCGAAGGCTACCCTACCTGAAAAATACCGCACTAATACCTTTGATGTTCCCAAAGAGATGTGCAGGAGAGCGAGAAGGAGAGGGAGACGGGGGAAAACTACAAGAGCTACTACGCACACATATTATACACACCAGACAGCAGCTTCACACGTCTAATGAATGCCTGTTAGCTGTTTCCATGTGTGGGTCTTTGAGGAAGATATAGTTCAAGGAAGTCAATGTGCAATGTAAAAATGTCCCTCTTAACAAGATATTTAATTGACTCCCCAGTGTACTCAATTATGAGAGTGAGTTTGACTTGTTAAATTTTCTTACATCACATTGTGATGACTTCAAATGATGCAAATTGCTCATTTGGATTTATCTTTTTTGTCACTTAAGAAGTTCCCAACATGTTTGCAACAATTATTTACTGCAGTCTGGAAACCGTGTTATGTTTGTCTTAAGAATTATAAGACTGCAAGATATTAAATTAGTTTTGTCACATGCTGTCTCCCCTCTCTCATCACACTTCCTGTTACTCTTCACTGTTTTCTATCTTAAAAAATGCACAAATAACTGACACTTTTCAGAGTGTCAGAATACTTTGTGTGTGCATGCGGATATAAGCGAGCCTACATTGTACCTGGGCACATTTGTGAATGTGTGAGTGCTTTATTACACTGCTCTTTAATCCTACATAATGAAAGCTAATTCTTCACTTGCATACTGTTTATCCTACTTATATCTTCACCGCCGGCGTTGCATTTTTTTAGTTTTATTAGCCTATGTCTCCACCTGAGTTGCATTAACACAGAAGGTCTGCGACCCCTTTTGCTAATATGTCCAGAGTTCAAAGGTTCACTCAGATGTAAGCATAGCAAATTAGAAACATGTATGCACCTACAGTGTGGAGCTGCTTTCCTCTTTGTGCTGTCTCTCATCTCACACACAACACACACACACACACACACACACACACACACACACACACACACACACACACACACTTTTATTCTGGACTTGACAGCTACAGAGCACTTGCTTTTTTAGTGTGTAGCCCCCATTCCACTTCTACTGTTCTTGGTTTTTGCCTCCATCTTCCCCTGGGCCTTCTATTACACTGTAAAGGTCACGTTCACGTCACCTCCATGTTTAAAACAAAATGCACCCGTGTGTCAGAGGGCACAGCTGTGGCAGGACAAGTGAACTTAGACTTTAAAATGTGATAATAGCCAGCGGATATTACAAAAGAACACAAAAAGCTGACTTCTCTGAATGGTAACATGCTTTGTTTTTTGCATCAGCAGCGTTCGTGTGCACATGCAGAGCTAGTAAACTGGACATTTGTAAATTACTTCTTCCATGAATTCCCCTAAATATAAATTCTGTCATAAGCTACTATGGATTGTTGTGAACGTAAGCTTCTGCTACTATACTTCAATCAATCAGTCAAGCTGGACATTTAGACACTAAGTTAGAAACAATACAACAGTCACAATACCAGTGTCAAAAACACAGGCAGTCCCTGAATAGTCTATGTATGTTCCTTTGACACTCAAAAGGTAAAACAACCACACTGTTATTATGGCTGGGGAGAGAAGGGGATGAGTATTGATGTCACGGTAATTCCAATTTTAAGGTTTGATGGGTAGGTTCAAGCTCCTCAGGGAATCTTTGGCTTGAGGAGGCATGAGCGACTCAAATGGTTCAGGAACTTGGATGACCCAGGGTCTGTGAGTGCCGCCTGGTCAGGCTGCTCCTGGCTGGAGATGTTGTACTGTGGATCCCTGGAAGGCTCTGGTGCTCTGCGAGGTTGAAACAGTGAAGTGCAACTTAGACTTCGAGTCTGCACCTGGGGTCCAGCGTTAAAGCAGGGAAGGCCTCTAGACGGAGGGGGAAGCTGCTTGGTCTGGTTAGCCAGAGGTCCTAAGGAACACCCTGGCTTCAGGGAGGTAAAGCCACCAGACCCCCCTGGCTTGACTGCAGGGAGAGACACACGCTTGTGAAGGCGAGGTGGCCGCAGCATGCTAGGGCAAGTCGAACCAGCAGATCCAGTAGTGACAGAGTTCTGCAGTATCACAGTGGGGGCTCTCCACTCACGCTGTGCTGCAGACTGAGTTGCTGATGCAGGACTGTCTTTGGCAGTTACCCCCTGTGGAGCCACAGAGCCTGAGCGGCGCAGGTGGGTACTGAGGAGATGACTCAGCTCGTCTGGGTCTGCTGGCCCAGACACATCTGCCATAAGGTCTTCAAGAGGACGGTCAGCATCAATATTGGTTGCTTCCTCTGATCTCCTTGTGAGGTCACTGCGGCCCTCGGTGGGGGGAGTTTTTATTGGTCTTCCCTGGTGGAGGTGCACGTTGAGGCAGGGGTTGAAAGGCTGTAGTATTTGAGGCTGCAGAGAAGAGGAAAGATATATCAATAACATTTTTTCAAATGGGTATAAAATAGTCATGGAACAGTCAATGTATAATGAGGTAGGACTCAAGAGTTGTTTTCATCATGTCCCCTTTTTTGGTGTCTTTGATCCCTGTGGAATCCAGGCTTTTGAATATTTTGCAGCTGCAAAGGGAACTCTGAATCAAAAAGCTAACTGAAAATTCTGCCTTTCTTTAACTTGCTTATTTACTCTTCAATATCACAGCCTGATCCACCGCCAGTTGCTAAACTATTCCTAAAATGGGCAAGGCAAAGTCACAGAGGAAGCCCTGATTCAGCACTTAAAAACAAGCAGACAAGAAAAACCTTGCCACGTGAGTTCCTAGAATCTACTGAAGTCTTTTCAGTCATTTTGTGATCGCAGCTGCAAAGGGGCTTCAAAACATTCAAACAGAGAGCTAAGATGCCTGCTACCTGAGTAAGGACGTGCTGAGCGGTTAACCACATAAAAATTTAGATCCACCATGGCATTATCCTCCACCGGGCATGAACACCAATTCACGAACACCTGTACAATTTAATGCAATCCTATAACAGCCCTGCAGCAATTACCGTCTTAGTGAAGCTCATTATATTCAAAATGTATTGTGTAAGAGAGCTGCTAATTGTCCAGCAGAACAAAACAACCAACTACGGCTTCAAAAGAGTTGAATCCACACCTCTCTGACACAGACTCAATTGTTCCAGCACTCCTGCACTGAATTGGTTATAACAGTTCATGATATATCCACTACCTGAACTTGCTTTATTTGTTGTATATTTAAGGATTCACATATTTTAGATACTTTCAGCACCACAGCTCTGCTTAATAATAATAATTTAATTTGCTTTTACAAGATGTCCCACTATATGCAAGCATAATATATATTGCCATAAGATAACTTTCAGCAGCTCAGTCACACAGGTCAGGGAAAAAATATTAAACTATATATAAATATATCATACAGGTATACAGGTGCGTTTTCTGAATAGCTTATGACCTCAACAACAATGAAAACCCTTTACATCCATACATACCCTTCTGAAATCAGAGGACTGGCCTTTTTTCATCCATGTCCTTTTAGCAGAACTAAAGAATCTAAATCCACTTGGAATCATCTAAAGCTACTAAAAAGCATGAACTCAGTTTTAGCAGAAATATACCCTCACAGTCAGTTGAAAGTGAAATAATGTCAGAGTATATGAATATATAGCTGTGCTACTCTGCCTGTTTCTACCATCAGTTATTTGTATTGTCAGTAGGAGTAGATGTCCGAGGCCGCAGCTCCATCTCCTGGTCCCCTGCCACAGTGCGTCGACTAGCCTGTTACAAAATCTATGTCTACCTCTCAGTGTCAGTTTGTTGTTGATGTTTTTCAAGCAAGGAGATACTGTTATTAGATTTCATTGTCTGTCATTTAAACCCCCCTGACATAACAGATGCCTTGGTTGCTTCTTACAATAGTGCTGATTAGTCTGCCACTCAAATCATGAGCATGTTATTAAGTCTTTATTTTTTTTGCTACACTTACTTATTCATGGGTGACTCTGAGTGAGTGAGCACTGCTCACTGACTGCCATAGTTCAAAACAAAGGATGTAATTAAATAAGGGGCTTTGCTCTAATCCACAAATTACAGGTGACACAGAGTATATTAACTAAATAAGTCAGACATTATCAGAAAGCTGAGTGACATTTCTGTTTTGAACACAACAAAGAAAAAACACACTGAAACATATATAGAGAGACCTTGTCACTGTCATTGTCCACTAAAATAAGAATAACTGTGATATATGATACCATTAATTGCAATGTTTACAATGAAAGCAGAAGAAGTCTCTGTCAGCGATCAGCAGCGTGCAGCATTGATAGGGTCACAGCCAATAATTATTTGCATCTACAGCTGTCTGCAGAAGATGCTAATAATTAACAGCAATCTTTTTGAGCTCTTCACTCAACTGGCAAGAACCAAATATCTTAGCTCACTAATGATAGCTATCACTTTAACAGAAAAATCACCAGTCTAACCAAGAAATGCGCCAATTTGAGGCATCTACAAGATGTCAGGGTCCACCACAACCAACCTATTCTCTTCAAAAAAAGCTGTGTGATTACAAAAGCAACATGAAAGAATTTGAATAAGGATGGAAATGATCCTCATTATTTATGTAGGAATACAATGTGATTGTAGCACATTCCATTTCAAAGCTAGATTAGATTATCATTTAATATAGGATGTTGTGTAAATGGTGATTTGGACTGCGTTTAAATTTAAGCTGCGAACAGAGTGTGAGAGCAGATGATGTGTGATCATGCAGATTTTTCTTTTGCTTGCTGTGCTTAACTGGTTTTGATAGGGGAGTTAAAATTGAAGGCGATTGCTCAGGACAGTAGTTATGTGTATTCATGTCCGATAACAAGGGTATTCTGAAAGGTTATTCCTTTAAAACACTTCATCCAAATCCCTCAAGGTGAACACCAAGAATAATAAAGCACCTGTTCAATGAATAAAATATAGAAAAACAAATGCACACAGAGAGACCAATGCATGCTAAAACGTTCTTACTGTATATACTTAATTTGATAGGAGGAAAAACATTAAAGAGACACAATGGAAAACTGAGAATAACTAAAAAAAAACATAGCATAATTATTTTCCTATAATCCAACAAAGAACAGGTAAATAAAATATGAAGACAATGAAAAATGACCATAACTAAAACAGCATTGCTGTGACAAGAGCAGACCAAAGTTCAATGTAAAGATACACAAGGTAAAAACTCCAAAACGATTGAAAATTGAATGCAAAGCATGCAAACGCAGATGTAGAAGGGCATGCTTCTGACGCCAAACCACAACCCATTGTGCAGAAGGTGGAGTCATGGGCGCACTATGTTGACTGCATGTTAAAGAAAGGGTTACTGTACCACGCTGTGTCATAGAAGTACTGCACTAGGTGCTCCACTCCTTGTCATAGGCATTATGTGTGGGGAGGCAAAGGTAGAAGAGAGAGAACATGGGAGATTCAATATCCGATTTTTGAGTGACAGAGAAGAGATGAAGTTAAGGGAGAGAGAGTGGAGTGTAATGCAGGAGAAAGAGAAAGAGTGAAAAGAAGGTGATACAGACATCAGAGAGAGACACATTTCGGGGTTAAGACATTTTATATGCATATTTTAATTAACTCCCAGCCTATGCTTGCGAGAAAAGGTCACACATTAGCTCAACAAACAAAGCAATTTAATGCAAAATTTAATTGCTCCATCATCCATCCATTCAGTGAAACCTGTGTGAAGAGTCCAATTCCTACTCTAATTCCAGAACTATCTATTTTCTATTCCAAAGACCTTTATTACTGGGAAGAACTCTTTGCTGGTGTGTTTACAGCTAGAGCTCTCAGTTGGTGGGGTTCAGAGCATTAGGGGCCTCATCCATTGTTTCTCATCTTACGTCTAAATATGACTGCATGCTGACTATATTGTAGTATGTTTCAGTGTCATTACCCGTTTCCTCCTGCTGTTTTTCCCCAATGAACAGACGTCCTTTTGATACTCTGTGTCTTTTGCTTAATTAGACCATGCAATCTGCTAGTAGGAGAAAAATATACTTAGGATGCTGGGCTGTCCTCACAGTCTATAAACACAAGTGAACTTGATACTGAAATAACCTGAGATCTACAAAAAAATACACCTGTGCCACATTTTTTCACCTACACAAAACAAAGCTTCAGCCCCAATGGGATGGATCAAAAGGAACAAACCGTGGGTTTTTCTCTTTGTTTCTTTCTTTTTTGCTCTTCACTCTCTCACATATGAAGTCTATTTACCAGTATGTCACTCTCTTTACCTTTGCCTTTCCTACTTTCTACCTCATCATCACAGTTTACAAAAGATTAACTAGGATAGGTGTGGTTGTCGTGGCTGCACTGTCATTGTCCTGTTTTTCTCAATGAAGTCTTGAACTTGACACTATTACTAATGCAAAATATAGTAGATATGTTATGTTTAAAAGAACGTCTATAAATAGTGAAGGGAAGTAAAGTGAGGATCATAAAAACATGTATCTGCAGATTTCAAGAAAGTCAACAAAGTTAGCCAGTTTCTGACTGAATAGAGGTAATAAAGGAGAACTGAGGCTAAAAAAAGGTAGCACAGGAAAATGAAAAATGAATTGTTTAGTAAAACAAACTATTTGCATGTTACTAATCTTATTCCAAATGAATCTGAAAGTAGACAGTTAGCACAAATAGTTAAAGAGTTTTAATTGGAGATCAAGTTAAACTTTTTCAGGCTATTAACAGATGCCTAGATATGTTGTGTTATGAAAAGATGGAGAAGAGGCTGCAAAAGATGTTAGTGACTCACTCTGTGTGCGCTGGGGCATGCTGGTACGGGTCAAGCCTTGGTGCTGTGCCTGCCACGGGGACAGCAAGGGGGTGGGCAGCACACCCTACGCAGAGAAAAATACAAAGGACAAAAGGCATGACGTACCAGAACACACACACATACAGAAGCATGCTAACATAGAAAACACAAACTCACAGGCATAAACACGATGTTAATATAGATAGCCCAATTAACACAGCACACTAAACACACATAGACATGCACACATATACCGACACACAGAGATTTATACACCATTCATCCATCTATTTCATTCATCCATATTAATGAGATAAAATTCAGCCTATCGTATTTAGTGTCTATGGGCGCTTTGGTATCTCTAGATTTCAAGATAAAGTTCTGTGATTTGAACATTGTTTGGCTGCACCCTGACTTCCAATTTATTTAGATAGATAGATATAGATATATAGAGAGATTTCTAGATAGATATAGAGGCTAAAAGTTGCTCTGTTATCTTGTCTTTGTGATACCTGGTGCCACTGGCAGGGCAGTAGGATTTAGAGGTCAAACACACATACACAAGTTCTCTACCACATCACTATTAAGTTATTGTAAACGAAATTGTATCCAA